AGTTGCAGGGGTCAATGGGCGGCGGTAGTTGCTTACCATCAGGTGACCCGTCTGCTCGTTTGTCCCCTTATACCATTAAAAAAATATTGTGTTCTTCATTACTTAATTTTCCACCTAATACAGAGTATATACCTTTTACTAAAATCTAAATGAAATCACGTATCAAAGTCCTATGGTAAAACACGTTTTTTTATCTATACAAATAATATAAAAAATTGACTGTTTGTAATGTCAAAATAATAGTTTTTTTTTTTTCATGCTCACACGGTTATTTGCACTATAGGTACCTATGCCTAAAAAACAGTTTTTTTTGTCTGCCTGTTCATTCCGGGTAATCTTCTAAACGGTTGGACTGATTTTGGTAATATATTACTAGCCTAAGTAACTAGAAAAAAGCCTAAGTTACTTCTTATATCGTCTATATAAGAAGGGCTATTTTTCCTCTCAGAAAAAACCCTCTAAAATTTTGCCCGGTCCGGGAATCGAACCCACTAACGCAGCGCTTTTTTAATTTACGCGAACGAAGTCGCTAGTTATAGCTACGCAGCTAGTTATAGAATAAAATGAACAATAACTAATCAAATACATTCTTTGTAGTAGTCATTCCATTATTGTATTGGGGTGAACCTTTTTAAATTAAATTAACAAAATATTTCCATAGCGACATTAAGTTTACTGGTGCATCATAAAAAGAAACAAATCTTTTTAAAATAAGAATCAAGTTAATAAATAATCGTACAGCATTCTGTTTTTGAAAGGTTTTTTTTTAAATTATTGTATTGAGTAGCAGTAATGGCACCTCACGCAACATTTTTATTTGGTGTCACTTTGTGTTGGCATGGCAACCCTATACTTACAAGGTCTATAATATTCCCCCCCACAGAAATAATGTCATACGTCGCTTTGCCATAGAAAAAGGAATCGTATAACTATGTAGAATAATAATAATTGTCGCATATCTGCATACTTGTTTGTTGTTTTGTTAGTTCCCGATAACCCCGCAAGGGCGCTGTCAGCACGTGCATAGTTCATCTTCATAATAGTTTTCGTAAAATTATAATTATTGATATGTTTAAACTGTAAAATAAAACATTTTTCCAAATTCGTTTTATAAGTACTAATTATGTTATCAATTATACATATTTCTCGTCATCATAATCATTCGTCGTTGTAATTGTCGCGGTTGTTACGCGCCATCAAAGCATCATACATTTTTATTATCTACTTTCAACGCCAGTCTGTTTGTAGATACGGGAATCTATACTTATATTGAAGTATTACGCAGTGCGGGGGAGTGAACAGTAAACTATTTTGGATGATTTGCACCTGACCTTGTCTCGCCTTGACCGCGGTCGACCTTGTTGTGCGAAAAAATACGGTTTTCCTTGAAATCACATGTTCTAGAAGAAATTTGGGCATGTATGTCAGCGCCATCTGTTGTTTTGGTTCTTAACTAAATTTATGATGGTTGGTGTAGTTTTTTTTGTTTATAGATTGGTCTATTTTCCCGTATTAATACAACGCCGTGATTGTAGTATATTGCGCAGTTTTATTTTTACTTTACTTTATTTTGCTACATTGTAAAAGTAATTCTATTTTCTTTGTTGCTGCTTTGTGTCTCTTACAGACATCGTCATTGCCTTTGCCCACAAAATATACCTTTAGTTTTTCTCTTAAATGCTAGTTTAGTAGTAATGCTAGTAATGTTGATTGAAGAATAATCTAAGTATATTGACTTAGTGATTAGAACTGGATATAAAACTTTTGTCAATACTTTTATTAAAAAACAGATCATAATTTCACTTCTTATTTATGACTAGCACTTTAATGTCGTAATTCACTTCATTTTAGAGACGAGTACTTAGCACCATCTACCGTTGAATAGCGTGTATAAAAACTCATATAGCTACTATTAAAACTTTATAAGTCGTCAATAGGTGGCGTTCCTTTAATGTTATATTATAATTAAACAAATTGTCGACAGATGGCATTGCTTAATACATTTCATTCGTTTCGCTAGGTGGCGTTAAACTTAACTTCAGCTAACATATTGCAAAACTAGATGTCGCTACTATCTATATGGGTGTTTAATGGTAAGAAAAACATACAGTGGAACATATAACCTCCTCCATTTTTAAAGTCGGTTATAAATAATATACTCTCTCCATTAAATGTGATATTGTGGCTTTTTACTCTGTTTATTAGTTAGTAATCCTCTCACTTTGTAACATACATACATGAGATTGTAAAACAAAGCGATAATTAACATACATAATAAATAATATTATTTATAGTAGGTATATCTATATTTGAGCATTTAGTATTTAGGAGGTATACTTTTTCTAATTGGCAGATTGACACAGTGCCAAATGTAAAATCTGTTTTTAGGGTTTCGTACCTCAAAAGGAAAAAACGAAACCCTTATAGGATCACTTTGTTGTCCATCTGCCTGTCTTTATTAATTTTGCTAATAATAATGTAATTTATAAATACATATAGTAAAATTGTCTTTTAAACCTTATCAAACTCAAAATAAAAATAAAAATTGGCAACGAATTTTTTACCGCTAGAAATCGCCATTTTGATTTTTATAATTTTAAATTGTACCCAATGATACCTAGCTATATCAATATTTGGATGCCCGCAGTTGGTTTACATATATATAACTTATGTACTTAATATTACTAAACTATTTTTACATTCCCATGAAAAAATCTATTAAATATGCGTTCGATGCACAATGCTTTGTCCTGCTGAGTTGGAAGCGACCCCTGCTGTCGAATTAAATTGGGCGGGATTTTTTTGTTTGTAATATTAAATACGAAATTGACCACTCATCCACATGCATAAAGTTGAATCTAGAATGAAAACTAGTTTTACATTAGACTTTCAATAATTGAGCGCTCATTAGTTCAATATTTGAATTAGTTCCATATATTATAGCCGTATCTGAATAATATTATCAATAAATATTCAACTTAAACGTGTTAGTAGTAAGGAAGTTTTTTGAACGTACAGCGGTTGTTTCCTTTTACAGTTTCACAGATCTATGTGTAATTGGAATTGAGTTAATTAAACATGGCCGCTTTTATGTTTTATAATATTTCCTATGAATTCTTCGTTTGGTGGTGTAATTTCGACTAGAAGTCATTAAGTTGTGAATGTATTCGATATATTTGGAGAGAGTAACCAATATTGAATCGTCACTTAAATAGGAACACTTCTGTATTTGTACCAAAATGGCACTATTTGGTATAGTATATTGGCACAAAAAGGAGCGATAGCAGCGGCACTAATACTCCGCCATTTTGTAGCGCACAGAAGTGGACCAAGCGCCGTTTCAATGTTGGTTACTCTGCCCTATGTATTAACATATCGCCTGAGGTATCGCTGGACCGATACGACCTCAAAAAAAAAAGAGTACTCCTACCTCACACTACTCTTGTGATTTCGGACTTACAGGCGTCCACGGGCGGTTTCCATCAGGTAACACGTCTGCTCGTGGCCCCCCTGTATCATATACCCCCCTTCCCCCTCTAGTTTTTACGTAAAAAAAGTGGAATTCATAAAAATTTAATTCTTTTTGCAATCAGGAAGTTAAAAACAAAAATTGACTCGTATGTCTTTATAATACAGCGCTTGCTAAATTTAAATATAACTTGAGATTTCCCTAGAGGATACTGACCACGATAGTGCCTAGCAGCCAAGTCTGGTATTCTGAAGGTGACCCTCTTCCCCCCCGCCCCCATCACCCTTTGAACGACTACGTAGTATGGCTGCGTTTCCTTATCTTATTAGTCGATAACCGTATTCCAATTTACCTTACCCCCTCATGTTTTTATTTGAGGCCAGCAATGTTACACAGTCTGTCGGCCACAAATAAAAATTGGAAAGAGCAGAAAATACCTGATGATTTATCTATAACCTAATATAAAATAATATTAACCTATTCCAAAAATATAGTTTTTACCACAAAAAAATGAATCTAATTACATATTTTTTATTCACATAATTAAATATTTGAATGTGTATATTAGTGAACAGGATATATATATAAAGCTTTCAAGTAGCAATTATAATCAAATTTATTAAAAATACATGTTTTTATCTCGTCCGAGAGTGGACCAACCGCAAAATACCAGGTACCGGAGCTTTAATTTGCGAAAAAAAAAAACCACCAATGAATCATTATCTGTGCATGTCATCAGCGCGGTACAAAATGGCGTCCGTAAAAACAGCTGCTATCGATGTATCGATCTGTGTTTTCAAATCGATGGACATCGTGTATTATTTAATGATGTTTTCGTTCTTTATGCGATTCCGCAGTCGGATAAGATGGCTCGGTATCTTATCTGAACGTATTTTGTTACGTTTTAACACTACGAATAATATATTTTTATCTTCTACTAGTTGACCCGGCAGACGTTGTTTTGCCATATACATTATTTCTAGGAAATATTGAAAAAAAGAATAAGGGGTGGGTCACCCTTGTCATTTAGGGGTATGAGAAATAGCTGTTGGCCGATACTCAGACCTACCCGATGTGCGCACAAAATTTCATAAAAATCGGTCCAGTCGTTTCGGAGGAGCATGGTTACTAATATTGTGACACGAGAATTTTAAATATAAGTTAATGCACCAGTTTTCTAAGGTAAGGCATATGCGTAGCAGTGGGCTACTAAAGGCTGTTGAACCAGCTGACCGGCTCAATTTCGTCTGCGTCTCTTTAAAATGAATAAATTATCTCCGTTTCTTCAACATTTTTATTGATTCTATTGGTCATAGCGTGATGTTATACAGCCTCTTTCGATAAATGAGGTATCCAACACTAATATATTTTTTCATTTCGATCCAGTAGTTTCTGAGATTAGCGCGATTAGCCAAACAAATAAACTCTACAGCTTTACAAACGCCCAAAAAAAGAATCCTCTTGTAGTGGAGTACAGAACAAAATATTCTGAACCCAAAAATAATAATGGTTTATTTTTGTTTGTTCCCAGGACATGGACTTGATCGAGGTGCTATGGAAGCAGGACGTGGATATGGGTTTCTCCCTGGAGGATCCTATGCAGCCGGTGAGTACGGGAAACGGGGGCATTAAATACCCATTATTAGAAACCAACTCATTTTAATATCTGTTAAAATAATAACATTACAAGATACATAGCTCAACTAGTCCATCCATCCATCCATCCAACAACCATCATGCTATACAACCATCTTCCATCGTTAATCATCTCTCTCTCCATACATTCATTTATCTATAACTTTTCCTTCTATCTGTCCAGATATCTCCCTATCCACCCACCAATTCATTCATACATCCGTTCCTCCATCTTGCCAATATCCATGCATCCACTTAACCATCCATTGATTAAACATTCTTACAAAAGTTTCCATTTATTAAATATTATTTCCTAAGTACTGCATAGTTGAAACGGTGCTGGTGATCGCTTAACATCAGGCGGGTACATTGCCATGTTTATATTGTTAACTAGCTGACCCAACGAACTCTGTTCCGCCTTAAAGGCAATAAATAAGCCGATTTTCGAATTTAGTAAGTTAATTTATTTCTTAGAAAAAAAATGAAGTACATTAATCATTTATTATAGTTTCTGCATTTCAGTACATAGGTTGCTCTTCACTTAAGTACCTGTAGTACCTTAAGTAAAACAAACAACGCAGATGGTCTTCCGACCAATACTCAACGTTGCAATGTGTCTTAAACGTTTTAGAAATAAGTGGCGAATATGGAACAATCCAACTGTTGTCGACAACAAAATCCATTCTTTTCACTTTTGTTGTGACAGTTCCACCGTTGTCATCGACGCCGATACAAAAAAAAAAACATACGGAATAAAAAATATCCTATGTCCGTCTGCTGGCTCTAAGCTACCTCCTCACCAATTTTCAGCCATATCGGTAAAGCCGTTCTTGAGTTATAAATAGTGTAACTAACACGACTTTCTTTTATATATATAGATACTCCTACTAAAAATGGATGGCTATTTAATACTTGATAATAATACAATTGTTTTGTGGCAGAAGGGTCCAGCGGCTACGAAGGTGCTAGGCGATGAGATCGACAAGGAGCTAAAGCTGGCAGAAGAGAAGATCGTGAAGAAGAAAGAGGAGAATGCGGAAATCGAGAAGGTCAAAGCTTCGCTATTGGATCCTGAGAAAGAGGTAGGATTATTCCTCTTGTAAAGTATTTAAAAATGATTTTTTTAATAAAAACATGATATAAATAAAAACTAGCTCCTCCGCGGGATTTCGTCAGCGTCTCCCAAAAAGAATAAATTTTCCCCGTTCCTGCAACATTTTTTATTGATACTCGCCTCCTATTGGTTGTAGCATGATGCTATATTGACTATAGCCTTCCCCGATAAATGGGGTATCCCTCACTAAAATATAATTTTTAATTCGAACAAGTTATTCCTGAGATTAGCTCGTGCAAACAAACAAACAAATAAACTCAACTTTATAATATTAGTATAAATCTGAAGACAATCAGGCTCTGCAGGGATCCTTTATCAAGGACCAAATTGTTCCAGTTTAATTTTAATTCATTAGAAAGATAACATATCCAAACGAACTCGAAAGATGTTTACTTTAAAAATAAATCAATAACAGACGAAAGAAGAATATGTACAATGAACCTATCATGAAATAGTAACTGGCCCTTAATCAAGAAGTAAAACGAGTCGGAGTGACGGATTAAGAATACGGAATTTCACCACCCCTATTCATCCCGTGGGTATCGCAAGAGCCGACTAAGGGAGCAAACTGCGCAGGACAACAGCACTGCAAAGAGAAGGAAAATTTGAAACAAAACCTATACCAACCAGTCTTGGCCAGCGTGGTATAGTAGACCAAAACCTCCTTTCTAAGGAGAGGCCTATGTCCAGCAGTGGACTGTTATAGGCTGTTGCGAAGCCAAGGTCAATGTATGATTACCATGATTCTGAAAATTCCTTTGTCCTTTCATCAGGATGACCCCTGGGCTGGATTGTCGTATACCGTTGACACCGAAACTGGTAAGTGTTTTAATATATTTTAATACTTAGACTAGTTCAGAAAAGAGTAAGTCTTAGCTTAAAAGATCTTTCTATAAACTTCTTGATTTTAAGAACAATTTAGTTATTGCCATTACTAAGAATACTTTATTTTGTGCCATTATTAAACTTAATTTATTTTATGCCATACTTACTTAGCGTGTCGATGGCAACACTTTACACGATTTTGGCCCAATGCTCGGCGACGCGAATGGCGTTTGGCCTTTTAATATAATTATATTAATTTATATATAATTATTAGGCACAATTTAGTTTGTGTCGTTAACTGATTGTTAATATAACTTAGTGCCGTTTTAGGACACAGTTTATATTATGCTACTATTAAGCACAATTTATTTTGTGCCATTATTAGCACGTATAAATTTTAAGTGTAGTATTTAAGTGCAGTTTAGTTAGTGCTATTTTTAAGGACAAATTCAAACATCAAGCAGTAGTACCTGGCTTATGCTTGCGCTCAAGCAGTTCGGGTTCGAACCCCGCCTACCCTACCTCAGAACCCTAACATAAATACTAGTCATGCTTAACAAATGTTGCTAGTAATTAAAAACAAAATTAGGGAGCAGGTAATTCTTGATGATGTTTTCGTCCGACTTCATATCAACTGGGACATAAAAACTAAGGTAAGTGAGCTATATCTCAAAATAAATTGTAGTTTTAAAAACTGAAAAACACGCTTCAGTAACTAGCCGAACTAAAAAGTAGAAAATAATTTTCTATAAATTCAAAAGAAAAATCATTTCAAAAAGAAAAATATAATAATAAAACAATAATATTCTACCACATTGACACAACGCCATCTAGTCTCAAACTAAGCACAGCTTGTACTATGGGTACTAGACAACTGATATAAATACATATATACTTTTTTTTGTAAATACATTCATGTTTTACAGAGAAACGCCCAGACCAAATCAAACATTAAAAGTGCACACAAATGTTTGGAATCGAACCCGCGACCTTACCGTAACTTTCTACAATATTTATTCAGTAAAGTATGTTTATCAGTAGCTACCATTTTTTTTTACGTTTGGAGATCCCCTCGGGCCGTCACCTCCCAGGGGTTTGTGGCGGGGTGGTGTGTCCACAAACCACACGGTGTGCCACTCTGCGCCTGTAATAGGAGGGATCCGGGAACTGCTGTTATTAAGACATCCGGATCCCTCCTAGCGCCTGCCCGCAACGGCGCGGGCACCACCTTAGGGTACATTCTCTATTTAGGTGACGTTCGGCACACGCGGACGTAGCCTCCGTAGGGAAAACCTGTCCCGTCCACCCTCGCCCACACTCAGGGCGGCATGAGGCGATGGTAAGCGCGCCTCCGCAGTTCGCCGGCGACGGATCGGGTCCGAGTAGAGGTTGTCCTCTTGGGCCCTCTCCGCCGCCTCCTTCTGCGAGATGACGTCTTCGCAGAAAGATGCGACCTCGGTGAAACATCTGTCAGTACCAGTAGTTACCATATACAGGTTCTGTCTAGCTTGTGATCAGAGGGCCAAACTGATTGGCTAAATAGAATATTTTATTTGTACACCAGAATAATGAACGAAGGGCTGCCTTATCGCTCAGAGCAATTTCTTACAGGCAACCTTTGGATGCACTGGAATCATTGTAAACTGGTGGTAATACTGATAAAACTCCATTTTGTGTGCACGACATATAGCATCCAGTACACTCCATTACCCTCCCCAGTCCACTCAGCCTGTGTCACCATCCGTTACCCAAACTCGTATGGTCCAACAACCTTTTGGTCCTTCGAGCTTCAAGTTCTTTTGTAACTTCAATTCCAACCCCAACTGCAATATCCCTCAATAAGGGGTGTTGATTTCATCCCTTAGGTAACACGTAATGTACATAAGGGTGTATTCGATATACTTAATTGTAGATACGGAGGGTTAAAAGTAAGGGTGTGGATTTCGACTGTAGGAGGGAAAAAGACGAAAATATTCGTCACGGAGTCGCGTATTTTGTTGTTTATGTAAATATTTATAATTGTGAATTATATTTGTATAAATAATTACTAGCTGAGTTGTACCTATGTATTTTTCAATGCTAAATCATAATAAAAGAAAAAAAACACCCTTATCATTTAGGGTATGAAAAATAGATGTTGGCCGATTCTCAGACCTACCCGATATGCACACCAAATTTCATAAAAACCGGTCCAGCCGTTTCGTAGCGTTAACAAACGTAACAAACACCGCGTCACGAGAATTTTATATATTAGATATAGCCGTATAGAAACCGTATAGGCCTATGTCCATCATTGGACGTCTTTTGCTGAGAGAAAGAAAACGGGTATACTATCAATTTCCCCTTCTCCTCTAATTCTATACATTTAATTTAATTAGGGACTTTTAAGATCTCTTGTGATCAATTAAACTCATACATAGAATAAATAATAATAATACCCTCACACATCTCACACACGGCTGTCTGATCCCAAACTAAGCAGAGCCTGTACTATGGTAACCAGACTGCTGATAAACATACTTATATATTTAGAAATACATACATATTATAGACTAGCTAGTAGGTAAAAGTGCTGCCTTAGTGTGTACGCGACTGCAGTCCATGAGGGCTCTGGTTCGATTCCCCTAAAAGGCGAAGTTTTATTGGGTTTTGTGAGAGGAAAAATAACCTAAGTTACTCCTTATATAGACAGCTACCTGGTAGTGAAATATTAACAAAATTGGTCCAGCCGTTTTGAAGCTTACCCGGAAGACACAGATAGACAGGTAGTCTAGACAAAACTATTTCAAATGGTTTTTAGCCATAGGTATCGTGCAAATAACCGTGTAATCATGAAAGAACTCTATTATTTTGACATTACAAACAGACATTTCAATTTTATTTATTTGTATAGATAAATTACACGCAGACACGGAACAAATGATCGTACTCATCACACAATATTTGTCCTGGATGGGTATCGAACCCACGACCTTCGGATTAGCAATCATGAGCGCGAACTTCTAAACAATGATAGTTAAACCTATATAGTCGTAACTAAGAGGTATTTGTGCATAAATTTTGATTCAAAAAGCAATTTCAGTTACGTTTTAAAAAAATCCCAAACGCTTTCGGTGAACGCAAAGACAGAAAAAGCTGAGTCATATGAATAATGATATAACATGTCGCTTGCTATCGGACGGGGGGTAGGCTATGCCTTAGGGAATTGAAACAATCCGAATGCTGGGGTAGCCAACAAAAAATATACGAAAAAATAAATATACCTACGTTAAGGCTGCAGCTTTTATTTTGGACGAAATATTTTTTTAGGAGGCAACATTTATGGAGAATTTGGCTCGAATTAAAAAAATACGAATAGATAGGCTAAATATTAAATACCTAGCTTTTGCCCGCGGCTCCGCCCGCCTTTATGTCGGTTATCGCGGTATAAAGTAGGTCATGTACTCCCTCAAGAATCAAACTATCTTCTTCCTAAATTTCATCTTAATCGATTCAGCGGTTATTGCTTCCCCATAAAAATTTCCACCAAATTTTCACCCCCTTATTGGTGATTTCTAGGATAAAACTATCCTGTCCATTCCCGGAACTCAAAGCATCTCTATACTAATCTTGAAAATCCAGAGATGGGACCATTTTGGAATGAATCCCTTTCGAACAAAAAAAAGAAGACGAAGGAGAGAGGGCGCCACAAAAATTCACTTTCAACTAAAAACAATAAAAAGTGCAAAAAAGTGTGTTATTGAACTAAGTACCATATGGAACATAGCAAGTCAAGTCAAAGCATCCTCCTTCCTCCATCCTCCTTCCTCATCCATCATCCTCCGTCTATATAGGAGGCCCGTCTAGTTATGCCCGATCTCCATATCAAATTTCACCTAAATCGGTTCAGCCTTTATTGATTTCCCACACAAACTTCCACCCCCCTTTTCACGCTTTTAAAGGATGATTTCTGGGATCAAAACTACCCTATGCCCTTTCCTAGGACTCGGACTATCTCTATACCAAATTTCATATAAATCGGTTCAGCAGTTTAAGCGTGAAGAGGTAACAGACAGACAGACACTTTCGCATTTATAATATTAGTATAGATTAATGACGGATTTAGAATACAGAGTGTCACCACCCCTATTCACGAACTATGCAGAACAACAGCACTGCAAAGAGAAGGAAAACTTGACACAAACCAACCCGTCCCGCCAGCGCGGTGTAGTAGGCCAAAACCTCCTTTCTAAGTAGAGGCCTATGTCCTGCAATGGACTATTAAAAGCTGTTGATGTGATGATGTGGAATTCGTACCCACGCCCCCGGCATAGCAGTCAAGGTCACTAACCACTAGACAAACAGGTCCTTCTATATATAAATCTTTCTTAAGAAAACATCTAACTTTCGGTGAAAACCGCATCAAAATCCGGTTGGCTTGGGTGGTGCCGTTAGATTCATTTTAATCGTGAGAGTTACACTGGGCATATGAAAATATATATAAAATTCTCGTGTCACAATGTTCGTTCCCGTACTCCTCCGAAACGGCTTGACCGATTCTCATGAAATTTTGTGTGCACATCGGGTAGGTCTGAGGTCTGCCAACATCTATTTTTCATACCCCTAAATGGTAAGGGTGACCCATCCCTAATTTTTTTTTATAGGCAAAGTAACGTTTGCCGGGTCAGCTAGTGAAAATTATAAAATTTAAAATCACCGGTTTGTAAATTTTAAATACCTATACATTTTGACACGGTGTGCGTCTCCGTTAACCTGTTTACCGGACAAGAAGTATAAATGCGTCAGGCGTAAACAATATCGGGTACGGGTAGGACATATGAATACGTCCTCTGTAATTCTATTTTGTTTACTTGCTTTTACTTGTTTTGTGATTCCTTTTGTACTTCAAAAATATTAAATGAATAAATAAATAAAATAAACTTGATTCTGTAAGAAAACACAGCATACAACTTAATATAAATTAGTAACTTAATACAACTTACAATAGTATTACA